CTGCCACTTTTGCGTCTTTCACGAGTGTAATCAATGCGCTGACTTGAGAGGGACTTTAAATGCGTTTTCAGTTTGAGCTGTAGCTTGACTCTGGTCATCACAGATTCAAAGCCGTGCGTTTTACCGGTTTCAGCTTCATACATGAAGCGGATGTCCAAGATGGAGTTAGCCCCATCTCCTTTTGATGAGGTGTAGTCATTCCGATATGTCATGCGCGAATCCTTGGAGTACCGCATGATAACTTGTCTTCGGCATGTTGGAAGCAGGTGTTCTTGACAGTAAATCTATTCTATTCGACGAACTTTATCAGTCTGTTGCCGTTTATGCAGCGAATATCGTGCCTATACTTGGCTATAATTTGTCGATGACTGTGGTCTGCAGAGACGTATATGCATTCCAATCGTCGGTCAAGATGACAAAACCCCTTTCAGATATGACGTATGTCACAGCTTGTAGGATTGAGTAGAATTGATATTTCATTTCGTCGTCTGCATTTGATGTATTTGCGTAGATTGCTACAACGGAAACGTTGAAGAATAGAATTGGCCCCATCATGTAAGTGGTAGAAAGACCGACATCTCAACAGTTTAAAATTTGCCTTTCCTTTTTTATGTTGTAGTTTTAAATAGAACAGTTTATGAACTGCTTGTAGCTAAGCAGAATTTCAGGATTTCGTTTTTCCTCATTTTTATGTGAATTTATTGAATGGAATAAGTTATCTAATTGCACTTACATCTTTTGGCACTTTATTTTACTCTTGCTTGAAGTAGATCTAGCATTTAAAGTGGTAGAATCAATCCCGGCTTGCGGCATCACAAAAATGGCGTGGAATCATTCTAAACTGTAGGCTAGACTGGTTTGGCCACAAGGTCTCAATGTTCGTTAGGGGTTCGTTGGACATCTTACTATCCTTTGAGGCTAATTCAACTGCCACTGTCACCGCCAACCGAGGTAGTACGTATATTCATTTTCAGAAGCACTGTACCGCGTATCACCTACTCTGGCCCCGTTATATTCTCATGCTTAATAAATAAAGGCTTCAGATTACTGCATCGAGCCGTAATGTTAATAGCTAGAATGTGCAGAACCCTACTTCAGAAATTAATGACTGCTTTTCGAGCTTTACAAGTTGCAACGGTCTGTTGTCTGTGTCATAGCATGCTGCCTGCTGACAGGCACCCGTTGCATCTGAAATTTCAGCGCTGAGTGTTCCGGCATCAAGACATCTGCAGCTTGTTCAACACTTTTCCGGCTCGAACAGAATTCTACTGGCGATCCATTCTACATTTCGTCGTAAGAACTCTGAGAGAACCAGAACTGCAAGAGAAATTGCTTTTGCGCAGTATTCTATCTTCCATTTGCTTTCTCTATGAATATATTTCATAGCATTGTATGGCTATAGAGTAATGTTGTGCTATGGTACGCTTATGCTGTGGAACACTTGTTGCACACGCTAATGAACTTGACTGACTGACAAGTCCGTTATTAGAGAACGAAAGTGATCGACCTGAGTTTTACCTGGTCGGATGATAAATTCTGTCATTTTCTCAGTCTGCCTTAAATGCATTTCTAATTGTACGTTCGTCCATTGATTTTTCAGTTGTAAGGATGGCGTAATTTGGTTTGTTGGTCACTATGTCAACATGCTTTCTTTTGTGTATCAGTCATGTATGTTCATTTTAGATTATTCCTTATGTGGATTCGCTTGGTTTGGGCGAACAGCAACTGGCTGCCTTAAGCAAAGCCGCACATGGCCCATTCGCTGACCAAATTCCTGCCAGTGCGAGTACAATCCATGTATATAAAGCGACAGAAATCCTTCACTGGCTTCTGCAAAATTTTGGCCATCAGAAATCGACGAGCCGTTCTTCGACTGTTGAGTCCAAGCGGCGTTACTTCCGCCTCCAGCGCATTCATCTGCGCTGCTTGACGTACCACATGATTGCCAGTCGGGGTCCGAATTGGTCAAACGGTGCAGCAGCTCTCGTTGCCGGCGCCATGGTTTACGCTCAACGGGCTTGTGGTTTCGAAGGTGGCACTTTGTCTGATTTGGTTGAGCTCCGTGTCAGTGAGGAGCATCTGGTTGACCAACGCGACGATCGTAAGTACAAGTTCAAAGCTGATTCGCCGCTGATGTCTTGGATGCGTGAAGACGTTTTATTCATCTATACGCCTGTACTTTTGTGCAAGCATCCGGTGAAAACGGTGGGCATCAGTCATGCCGGAGCTGCAACTAGTCTCATGTACTCGCAGTTCTTTAGGATAGAGAAATGACGCCTTTCCTTTCTTACCTACAGTCTTTTCTGTTGTGCTTTTAGTGAATATGGTTTTCTGCGAAAACGACTAAATCCTTGTTTGTGATGTGTTCTATCGTTTTTGCACGCCGTTTTCAGACTGGTTGCGAATGCGAATAAAGTTAATCGAAGTAAATTTGAGCTTCCAGTCAAGTTACAATTACTTAAACAATATCAAAGTGGTAGAGGGACGACAAGGGGTTCTCAAGACGATGTACCGCTGAGCCTTTCGACTCCAGCTGGTTCAATTATTCTTTGAAATCTTAAGAAAATACCAAACCAAGTGCAAGAAACAATACTCACCAACCGGCCTGGCCAGCATGCTGAGATTTAGACAAATATTCGATGAAGAAGTCACTCATACCATGATCATCATTCCTTTGTGGTTTGACTACCTCCAAGGAGAGGCAGTATCTGGTCAGATATGGAACCAGAGGGTGCTAAAAATGCCTGAGTTACGGATTATAGCTGCATTAGTTAACTGATGCTGACAACAATCAGTTTCAGTTCACTTTAGCTGAAGCAGGGCTTCAAGAGCTGAAAGAAGCAGTAAGTATAATGAAATGGAACATTATCGGAGTCATCGAAGTTATATCAAAGGACGAGAGGCTATTAAGGCTCTATAGTGGACCCCATTGCCAACGTTGGAAGATCTCGATTTAACGCCGTTGACTCTGGCGCACAACTGCTATCAGCATGTAATGACTGAATAGCTCGTATCAACTGGCCATCTTATCCATGCGTTAGCACTCCTGTAGACAGTTGTGTTGGGTTCAGTGATAGGCTCTCT